CCGGGCTGGATTAGAACCCGCCACCTTAGGTGTATGTGGCTGGCGCCTTAGCCACTTGAGCCACTTGAGCCACAGGCACCGAGCCGGCAATGTGGATTTCTGCAGACACCCACATCTCAGCAGCAGGGGAAGCAAAGGATGTTACCTTCTCCTATGCTTACCCCAAAGCCCTCTGTAGAAGGAAAGAGACTTAAAAGTGATTGTCTCATTCCGGCTTCATGCACCAGATACCATCATAAAACTTCGGTGTTTATTGAGTCTCTTTTGCAGGGGCCTGGAAGTACAATGGTAGAAGTGTTTTTAGAAGTAAATGGCATTTATAGTCTATAAAATGCCTTTAAGATAGATTTTTAATACCCAGCTTCTTGATTTGCTTATAGGCAAATCATTTTCTTGCTCTAACTGTAAAACTATGAGAACCCATTTAATTCCATCATACTGAATATTTTAAAGCTTTATTTTTTAATTAATTTTTTTTTTAGTAGGGTCTCACTCTGTTGCCCAGCTAGAGTGCAGTGGTGTCTTCGTAGCTCACTGCAACCTCAAACTCCTGGGCTCAAACAATTCTTCCTTAGCCTCTTGAGTTGCTAATCTGTGTGGGGGTGGGGGTAGAGACAGGGTTTCACTGTGTTGCTCAGACTGGTCTGGAATTCCTGGCCTTAAACTATCCTCCCACGTTAGCCTCCCAAAGTGCTAGGATTAGAGGGGCGAGCCACCGCACTTGGTCTAAAACTTTTTTCTTCATCAATCTCATTCTCCTTGTATCCATTTGAATCCATAAAGTTGGCTTTTATTTAGGTTAAAATTTGGGCTCATGGTTTCACACCAGAAATGAAACAGCAGCGCTTGAAAGTAGGGAGTTATTATGATGAGAATGTAGACACTGTGTCCTTTGGTAATAGACATGTCCTTGTGTTTGGCACTGCAGTATCTCAGAAATGTTAACACAAATTAGGAAGCTATTTAAAGGTACCAATACGACTACATTCTCCCTCCTACACCTGTCACAGATGAGGGGAGGTGTTGATTGTGCTATGTAGGGAGCAGGGACCCTGAGAACCAAGAGCCCTCATTTTTACACTGCCATGTGGCTGTAGGAAAGTGCATTTGTTTTAATTGTCACCTCCATGTTCTTTCTATGAAATGAGATGGCTATACAAGGCCCAAGAGGTCCCACGAAGCTCTGTAAATGGTGTTGCCCCTTTCTGTACACCTTAAACATACTATCCATGAGTTTTCCAAGAATATGAACTGCTTCCCAAGAGTCTTTGCTGTGACTGTGAGAAACTTTCAGAAAAGGGTCAAGCTGCCCTTGGTAGGTGGAGAGCCTTAAGAGAGACCCTCTGAGGTGAGGAGATGGCAGAACTCATCTCTGCCTCATCCACCACTGCCTCTCTTAAGAGGGAAGGGTAGAGCAGCCTGGCAGGAGGAGCTGAACACGGCAGTAGCCACCATGATGTTTTATGATAGTTAGGATGACATAAACAGCTCAAGACTTTTCTATGCCGGCCTATCTATTATCCTTACACTTGATCAATCCATAAATGTTTGTTTACATATTTCTTTGTAAAAACAAACAACAACAACAACAAAATAGGCAGCGCCTGTGGCTCAGTGGGTAAGGGCACCGGCCCCATATACCAAGGCTGGTAGGTTCAAACCCATCCCAGCCAAACTGCAACAAAAAATAGCTGAGCATTGTGGCAGGTGTCTGTAGTCCCAGCTACTCAGGAGGCTGAGGCAAGAGAATTACCTAAGTCCAGGAGTTGGAGGTTGCTGTGAGCTATGTGATGCCATGGCACTCTACCAACGGTAAAAAAGTCTCTGTCTCTACCAAAAAAAAAAAAAAAAAGGAAAGGAGATTATTTCACAAAATATTTACACCATAATGCAAGATATATGGGGTAGAAATTAATCCCTAACAAAATGATTCAATAGAACTGAAATTCAGTTTTATTTTTTAGAAAAATAAACAACTTTCTCTTTGCAGGTCGACTGCTAGGGAGTATGCTCTGAAAATTATCAAGAAAAGCAAATGTCGAGGAAAAGTATGTATTAATGTTTGTTCTTATGAAATATAGTGTTCAGGGCCAGGGGAGGTTTGAAAGAAGCAAAGTTCAGTTCTCAAATAAACATAAGTTCACCGTAAAAGTTGCATTTTGGTGGAATAGAATGTTATATGTTTATTAGACTATAACTTTTTATAAATATCCATGGAATAAAACATTAGTTGGAATGATTGTATATTATTTCTGTTCCTCTTCTTGATTTGTTTGCTTGTTTGTTGACTTTCTTCCTTTGGTGTCTATCCCTGTATAGACTTCACTCCATCTCTGTGTACAGAACTGTAGTTCTCTTGATAGGTTCTGAAATTACAAACGTCATTTAAGGACCTTCACTAACTTTTGGCAATTCTGGGCTACCTGAATAAGGTGTACTCAGTACAGTTTTCCTAAGTATGTGTCTCTTTGGTCCTCAGATGTTAGAGCTGTCCTCATCTGAGTTAGTCCTCGTATGTTTTGTGTACACTGGTTGAGATGACGTTTCCCTCCAACAGGAGCACATGATCCAGAACGAGGTGTCTATTTTAAGAAGAGTGAAGCATCCCAATATTGTTCTTCTGATTGAGGAGATGGATGTGCCAACTGAGCTGTATCTTGTCATGGAATTAGTAAAGGTATGTAGTTTGGAAAAGAAATAAACCTCTATTCAAGGCACTGTACTTTCCCATATTATAAAGCTCTTTTCTTTTATTTTCTACCACCAGTATTCAGTTACTCATTTCTGGGCACTGGCACAGTGATCAGTGATATTAACAAGAGAACTGGACTGCAAGAGTTCATGTCCCAGCCTTGGTGCAAATAGGCCCATGACCTTGGGTATACCGCTCTATGCCTTATTTCCCACGGATGTAAAATGAGAATACTAATAGTACCTCCTTAATACAGGGTGTCCCAAAGGTCACTGTACATAGGGAAAATGGAAATTATAGCTGTATTTACCTTTATTTACAAAATATCCATTACAAAATTTTATGAAATATTTGTACAATATTTCTCTATGTTGATATAAAATATAAAAAATATAAAGTATAAGTTTATTAATTTTTCCTATGTATTGTGACTTTTGTTTTTATTGTTGTTGTAATAGAAAATGGACCACTTTTTCATGAACTACATCCAAAGAGATCAACCTTTTTGTAAAAACAAGTGTTTAGCCATCAATATAAGAGAAAAATAACAGTCTTATTAATAATGTGATGTTAAACTATTATTCCAACAAAGGTCAATTTTAATTATCCAGAATATTTCCATATTGGTGCTTCATTATCAAGTTACCTTTATACCAATATGGTAAATTACATTTTCTCTAGCACAAAGGTTAGTATTTTTACAACAGCATCGATTTTTATTTTATTTATTTGTTTATTTTTTGAGACAGAGGCTCACTATGTCACCATCAATAGAGTGCTGTGGTGTCACAGCTCACAGCAACCTCCAACTCCTGGGCTTAGGTGATTCTCTTGCCTCAGCCTCCCAAGTAGCTGGGACTACAGGCACCCACGACAGCACCCAGCTATTTTTTTGTTGCAGTTTGGCCGGGGCCAGGTTTGAACCTGCCACCCTCAGTATATGGGACCAGCGCCCTACCCACTGAGCCACGGGCACCACCTTAGCATGGATTTTTAGATCAACAACTTCAAACCATTTCTATTGCCCCTCTGTGTGCTTTTAACATCTGTTGCCCCTCTGCGTCCTTTTAATGTCGACGAGTTCCCTGATATTATTGATTCGCTGATTTTTGGAGAGCTGAGGCTAAATTAAAGATGGTAAAGTCTCAAGTGTTCAGAACACGTTATGTGGGAAATCTTCCTCTCATTGTCCGTCATGCTTAGGTGACTACAGTGAGGTCCTCATCATGCTTAACAGCCTTGGAGGATTCTCCCTGCGGTACCAAGGTGCCCTGAGGCCAGAGAGGGTTCTCATGGCCCAGGACTGAAACTCACTTGTGCCCCTAGATTGTGCCCTTGGATTTAGTCAGACCCAGAAGTACACTGAGACCAGGTCTGGAAGCTTCCCAGGAAGTGAAGGCTGACCCCAGGCTTCACTTAAAAGGCTCCCATAACCCCCAAGAAATTTAGATGAGGCTGTGCTTCTCAAATCCTGAGTGCCCAGCGGTGAGCCAGGGTGTGCCTGAAGCTACAAGGCCTGAGTTCTGGAAAACAGTGACGTAGCAGTTCTCAAGAGTGGAATTTCATAATTATTAGGAGCAGGACTTTAGACTTCTGCCTGCCCAGAGTGTGCCCAGACAAACCTCTTCTGTGTCTGCAGAAGTCAGGCTTCATGGAGCAGGTGGCCCTGCCTCTGGGCCCTGAGATGTCAACAGGAGGTAGACAGGTAAAGGGGAATGGAGGGGACACTCCAGGAAGTGGGACTCTGAGGACAGGTATGGAGCACAGTGAACTTGGCTGATATTAGTGACCAGGGAAGACATGCCCTTCCCTGAGCATAAAGGTCCAGAGCAGTGGCAGGAGATGAAATTGAACAAGGAGGAATGAAGGCCGGGGAGAAGGATTGGTGATTTCTCAAAGAGGAGAAGGAAGCAGTGACACAGCGCGTGGGAAGGTAACAGTCTGCGTGCGGGAGGCTTTGCACAGAGCCTGAGAAGGAAGCAGCGAGGCTGTGAGACCACACCACAACAATCCGGGCAGGGGCGCTCGCTCAGAAGGCAGTGGGTGGCCCGGACGATGGCTGTGAGAAATGTTCCACAGGAAGGACCAAGAGGACTCGTTGGCTGCCTTGTTGAGGAAGTAGAAGGAAGGTTACCGGATGCCTGGAGGGGCAGTTGTGGCATCTTCGCAGGGTCCCCAGTGTACAGCCATGCCCGTCCTGCGTAACTCCAGGGGTGCTGTTCACACACACCACAGCAGCTGTCCCGCCTCCTCGAGCAGCTCAGAGACACCCTGAAAACCTGTGTGTAGCAGCCTGGCCTCTGACAGGGCCAGGAAGTTGAGGGAGAAAGTGTTCATTTAGAAAGAAAAAAGAATGTCTGTGCTTAGTTTGAGAACCGCTGAGGCTTTGATACTAGTGGGAGAAATCTCCAAAATGGAGATTGCAGAGGGGCCAGGCCTGGGGGTCATATTTGAAAACCTGCAAGGGTCCTATTTTGCCTTTAGTATTTTAGCGCATCAGGCAACAAAGAATCACAGCTGGTCACTATGCTCAGTTGTTTGGGTGCCCTGTAGGCGAGAATGAGGCAGATGTTCTCTGAATTCTCTGAAAGGGTTTCCAATAAATGGGACTGAGATTGGAACCTCACATCATTCTGTTTCACCAATGGCATTATGCTAGCAAGGAACAAGGGAAGCCAAGGCTGAGAAGCTGAGAAGAGCGCCTGTCACAGAAAACTTTCTTCCAACGTTGTTCTCCATTTGCCCTCTCTCCTTTTGTCTCTTATCTTTGGATGACAGTTGCTGGTCCTTTCTTTTCCCTACAAAGAAGGGCAGTCTTGAAAAAGAAAATACTATACCCACTCCAGGAGAGCTGTATCCAGAGCATAAGGGGCTGCACACATGTGTACGTGTGTGTGCATGTGTCTCTGTGTGTCTGTGTGTGCGTGCGTCTGTGAGTGAGCATGTGTGTCTGTGTGTGTCTTAATAATTTCATGGAGCAGCAGAACATTTTGTTAAGTGTGTACCTCACAGTATTACCTGTTTCTCATGGTGGGAGGTTTGGGATTATGAATTTGAACTTCAGCTGGCAGTCGGCACAAGGCAGGTGGCACGTGCCTCCTGTACCCACGTGTCACAAGGCTTCTTCCCTGGAGACCCAGCTCCACCTCCTCCTTGCTGGCTGGGGGCTGTGGAAACAGCCACGTGCCTCACGTGTCCTCATCCCACTCCTTTCTCTGAGCTCTGCAGGAATGTTGCTCTATGGGCCTTTTGCAGTGGGGAGAGAAGTCACCGTTAAAGACTTTGGGCCTTTGAGAGGGAAGCGGCAGGGAAAGCTCTTTGCAACCTGAAGCCCCTGGTCCACTCTTCATTTCCTTGCTGTTTGTCAGCGGCCTCTGCAGGTGGCCCAGTGGCCCATCTGTTAATGTGCTGCTCTGCCCACTCTTCTGTTCTCAGGGAGGAGACCTCTTTGATGCCATCACTTCCACTAACAAATACACCGAACGAGACGCCAGTGGGATGCTGTACAACCTGGCCAGTGCCATCAAATACCTGCATAGCCTGAACATCGTACACCGTGACATCAAGCCAGAGAACCTGCTGGTAAGATGCATTCCCCTGTTAGGGCATGTGATCTCCAGGCACTCCCAAGAGATAAAGGAATATCTCTTTCTTTTCTTTTTTCTTCTCCTTTCTTTCTTTTTAAAATAACTTTTTTTTTGAGACAGAGTCTCACTCTGTCACCCTGTATAGAGTACCATAGCATCATCATAGGTCACAGCAACCTCAAACTCTTGGGCTGAAGCGATCCTCCTGCCTCAGCCTCCCAAGTAGCTGGAACTAGAGGACCAAGCCACCATGCCTGGCTAGTTTTTCTAGTTTTAGTAGAGACAGGGTCTCACTCTTGCTTGGGCTGGTCTCGAACTCCTGAGCTCAAGCAATCAACCAGCCTCCACCTCCCAGCATGCTAGGATTACAGGTGTAAGCTACCACACCTGGCCATTTTCTTTTTTCTTAAAAATTTTTTTGACCTTAAAGGCTCATTTCTAGCCAATTTGTACACAGCACTTTTATGTTAAAAAGATTTTACTAGGTACAAAAGAAAGCCCTGTTAGAATTTTTTCTTCATCTCTCAACTTTGCACCTCAATATGATCTAAAACCTAAGAGAAATAAACCATAATGGATTTTAAAAACACCAGCCCCTTAGCATGAAAATAATCATAAAGAAGACTCACCTCAGAAAACAGAGACATCCCTCACTCCACTTTATGGAGATTTGGTCTGCGTTCTGTGAACCCCTATTCCTGGAGAAATACTTAGAGTTCTCCACACAAGCAAATGAGGGGCCTTTCCTAGCCCAGTTACAGAGGGAGCAGTAACTGGGCTACTTTATGGAAAGGAGGGAGGAGGTGGAGACTAGGCAGGGGGAACTGCCACCTGTAAATATGGGCGTAACATAAAGTGTGCTGGCTCTTCAGGCTGGAATTTTAATGAAATATGTGAAATCCTCCCCCCAACATGCTAGTTTGTCTTTTGCGTTCATGGTCCACACTTGAGCGTCATATGACACTTAAGCCTGGTTAGTTTGCTCATCTCTTCAAGAATCTGGGAATTGAAGATCCTCTTTCTAAAGCAGTTTTCTCCCAGGGTGGTCCAAGGACTCCCTGAATCACAATTACTCCCAGATGCCTGTTAAAATAAAAAAAGCAACTTTCTGGGCCTGGATGCAGCCCTACCAGATCAGCATCTGGTGGCTGGTGACAGTGTGCAGAAATCCACATTACAGCCAGGTCCCCCAGATAATCCTCACGCACACTCAAGTCGAAAAGCAGGTGAGCAACCCAACTCCCTCTCCACACATAGACGCTAGAAAGATCTGCAGTTATGAAGAACCATTTATGCACTCTGCCCTGTGCTAAGGGCGTGTCAGTCATTATCTTGCTTGATCCTCACAACAGCCACGTGGGGTAAGCTCTATAACTGTCTCATTCCCGGGGAAGAAAACTGGGGATCCTGACATTACATGACCTGCCCAAGGTTGTAACAGCTCATAAGTAGGAGAGCCAAATTCTCAATCTACTTCTGACCGACTCTAAAGCCCAACCTCTAACCCCTAGACTGCAGTAAACTCTGAATTAGAGAGAGGTGAACTCAGTGTTTGCTCCGTGCCAGGGAACCAGAGCGACACATGCCTTCCTGGAACTGACATTCAACCAGGGAAGGTCGGCACTGAGGAGATAAATGTGTGCACAATTAGTTCATTGCAATTATGATGGTAATCTTGTAGCTACCGGCTAATAAAGGCAGCTGAGGTCAAATGACAGAGCCCCGACTTAATTGCACCTCAAATTCCACATGTTCGCAGTAGCCTAAACATTCTCTTCTGCATAGCTGCCTCCATGAACTGCAGCAATTTTCTTTCATCTGCGTTCATTATTCCTGTGTACTGAATTATGTAGGACTGTCTCATGGGAACAGACTTACAACTGGGCCTTTGTTTAAAAACTTCTCTGAGCTCTAAAACTTCAGGGACTGAAAACTAAAGATTTCATTTCCCCTCCCCTTTTCCCTTTACAGTTGGGTTTTGCGTGCCCCTTGTTCACATGCTCCTCGCAGGAGTGTGCCCTGTTTCTGTGGATGCCATGAATGATGATGCAGTGGGGTACTTTTACTAACGTTCCAGTTTGGAGGACAATTTTTTAAGTATTGTGTTCATTAGAACATACTTTGGATTATCCAAGAAGAAAAAATATCTTCCTTTTTACTTTCTTATTAGAGAAACCATTGTGGTCATTCGTCATATAGTTTTTTCAACATATCTTTTAAAAACTAAAGAGATTCTAGTGTCTATTATAGTGATTGATTATTATAGGGAGTGAGGGTTGGTGAATTTTGCAGGGATAAATCTATTATAGAATAAAATAGTTAGAAGAATAGGATAAGTTTAGCACAATTCAGATGACATCACTAATTATGCATGAGCCCTCTGCTCATTTCCCATGCCCTTGAGCTTTCTCCGGGAAGGTGAGAGAGGTGCACCGTCACACACTCAGGATTTATAGTCAGATGGGCAGAAGTTCAAAGCCAAGTAGTTCATGCTTCCACTGGTGTCTTATGACCTTGAATAAGTTACTTAACTCCTTTAAGCCTTCCTTAAGGAGGATTTTAAGAAGATAAAGAGACAATACATAACTATTAGTTCCCTTTTTAGTTCCCTTTTATTTATAAAAATGTAAAATTATCCCTAAAAATAAAACTGCCCAACGATAACATTATATGTAGTGAAAATAATTTTTTATCTTTTTTTGACATTACCTTAAAATTCTTACTATTTTTAAAATTTTACTATTCACCCATACATGGAATTTTTTACCTTGTGGCAAAATGCATAGCACTAGACTATCTTCAGAAAATGTTATAATAGAGTTAGTGTAAAGCTTGTGAGCCCATATGCTTACGTCAGTGAATCTTACAAAATAAAAACCCCTCATGATGCACTTTGCTTTACTTTTTTATTACCTCTTAGAAATCCTTCTAAATTGTCAGACTGCTAACAAGATTTTTGCTAGTTAAATGATTAATATTGGAAAATAACTGGCAAAATGTATTTTTTAATAAATGGCTGAATCAGTTACAGATTTTTTTTATGAAGGAAAATTGTGCACATGGATCTTTTAGCATTTTTATTTTTAATTCTTATGGAACAACATAAAAATATGGTTTAAGGAGCTCTATTGATCATATAAATGATTTGATTGAATTATTTTAATGAGAAAATATATTTAACTCAAAGTGATCCTTCCAGTCACATTTTAGGTGAAAATTGGGAACTGACCCAATAAAAAATACTTGTTATAAGTTTATTGTTACATTATTGCTAAGTTTTTCCCCCCAAGTTGATCGTGCCCATGATTTTGTGTAGTTCTTGTTGCTTTACTTGTTGTCAGCCTGGTACTTAATCATATAGGCAGCTGGATGTCAGAGTGGATAAGATAAGTGAGGAAGTGGCTGAGCAGTCCTTCATGGAGCCCTCCCGATAAGCCTAAGCCATCTCTAAATTCATCTATTACATGGAGGACTCATGGGGGCCTCAGTATAAACCTCCCCTAGAGGGGAGAGAAAGCACAATCCTTCCCCGCATTGCATGAGATTGTTATGTATACATTTTTTAATGTGAATTTGTGTGTATCATGATAGTTTATGATTAAAGGAACTTTTAGCTTTTTTGAAAAAAACGAACTTTTAATCATGCCTTCAGTTCCCATGACTCACCACTAGATGGCAAGATTGTATCCTTGGCTGCAAAAACCATCAGTAGCTGCTTGTGTTTGTTCCAGAGAACTAGGCGGGTATTTTAAAAAACGTGTGCACAGATGCCGCTTCTTTATGAAAATTAAAGTCCTTCCTGGCAAACATATAACTTACATCATTAGTTTTTCTTAGATTCCAGAAATAAACACAGCCTAATTTTCTACCAATGTAAAAGTCTACGTTCAAAACCCTTTTCCTCCCAAACACCCCAGTACTTTCTGGGAGAAATAGTTTCTCAGAGAAACTGCCTCTCTTGGTTGGAATTTTTTTTTTTTTTTTTATAGAAACTTTCTAAGTGTCTGTGGCTGCTTCTAGCTGCCCATCAAAGCGACATGTGCAGCTCACAATCCGTGTTTTTGCTCTGTGGATTATACCCAGCAATAGCTATTCTTGCTCACCCCAAGTGATGAGTGTCGGTTTTGCCCCAGCTTTTCCTACCTTCCCATTCAAGCCAACACCACGCTCATAAAATAACGGATTTCCTGGCTCGGCGCCTGTGGCTCAAGCGGCTAAGGTGCCAGCCACATACACCTAAGGTGGCGGGTTCGAATCCAGCCGGGACCCCACCAAACAACAATGACGGCTGCAACCAAAAAATAGCCGGGCGCTGTGGCGGGCGCCTGTGGTCCCAGCTACTTGGGAGGTGGAGGCAGGAGACTCGCTTGAGCCCAGGAGTTGGAGGTTGCTGTGAGCGTGATGCCATGGCACTCTACCCAGGGGGACAGCTTGAGGCTCTGTCTCAAAAACAAACAAACAAACAAACAAACAAAATAATGGATTTCCTTCTGCCTTGATCTCATGACTCTTAATCCCAAAATAAACCATTTTTTGAGAGGATAGCGAACTACATCAGTAGACAAGGCAAGTCTGTGTGCAGAGGTCATGGCAGATTGGCAGTCAGTCCCAGTCCCCTGTCCTATGAACTTGAGCCACCAGAGTGTGTTGCCTAATGGATTGGGGGCTACCCGGAGGAAGGGAGCCGCTGATCTTCCGTGAGTTTGTCACCGGCCCTGCCCTGATCAACATTACCAGTGACTTGAAATGAAGATGTATTACAGGACAGGACTAGGATCTAAAAATTACCTTGGGCTGAAATTTCATAGTATAAAATTTAATAAGACATAAACATAAATCTGCACTAAGTGATTTTGGTATAGATTTGTTTTTGATGAGTGTAGAAAAATGGTAATGGGAAAACTTGTCCTCACTTCAGATCAAAAGGCTGTTCACCGACCTGTAAAAGGCTATTAATTTGTGACATGGTTGCCAAAAATATCACTGTGCCCTTAG